GCCAGGTATGAAAATCCAACCAAAATATTTGTATAAAATTGCACAAAAAGAATAGATGGTCCAAATCCTCCTCTTCTGTTTCACAAAATACACAATTACCAGTTTCTATTTTGAATCTATCACCAAGGAGTCTATTTGTCGGGTAAATTTTATTCAAAATTTTAAACTACAGTTTCCTTAAACGTCAGAAGAAACTGGAGCAAAATCTGACAGGTAGAGGTCTGCAGACCCAAAGACACAACTAAATCAGAGGACTGGGTTAACAGCTTGGGTGATGAGGGGCTCACAGGACAACAGTAGTCGCAGTGAGCAAGTCTCAGTTTCAACTGTGAGGAGAAGACTTCGAGCTGCAGGTTTGACAGAACGATGCTAAAACGTCAGAATAAGACAAGGAGGCTTGTCTGGGCCATGAAACACGGCCGCTGGACTACTGAAGACTGGAGGAAGGTATTATGGACTGATGAATCAAAATTTGAAATCTTTGGTTCATCAAGCAGGATCTTTGTAGGCGAGTAGATGAAAGGATGGTTCCAAGTCCAAGCTGTGCCAGAACCACCTCAGGAAGAACAAGATGGTGAGCTTGAAAACAGCAGCACAGTCAGACTCAAACCCCATCCAGCTGGTTTGGGATGAACTGGACAGACGAGTGAAAGCAAAGCAACTTAGAAGGTCCACATTTATGGGAACTTCTGCAACAAATATGGGGAAAACTTTCAGAAGAATATTTGATTTCTGTTGTAGAAAGAATGTCACGGGTGTGTTCAGCTGTTATATCTGCTAAAGGAGGCATTTCTGTCTTTTTTTTTAACTCCAGTTGCTTATTTGTACTTAGCTTTCATTTCAAGTTAAACGAGACATTAAACTGCACAACTTTCAATTACAAAAATTGGAAAAATTGTGTTCCAAAACGTTTGACCGGTAGTGTATTCATTCAATACTAAAAAGTCTAATAAAAATCCACATCTCAATAAAAATATTTCAAATATTTGTTTGTTTTGAAAGAAGATAAACAAACTGAAAGCATAAAAATAAAACCAAAAGCCCAGGGACCAACACCAGAGCACGAAGCGGGGGAACAGTCGTACATA